CGTGGGAGAAAGATGAGGCTTTCTACTCCCGTAAAGATTTACACCCTCGGAAACCCTGTACAGGGTCGCTATGGGTCGGAACCGACTCGATGGCACTCAACAACAACCATATAATTATTCTGCCAGTAGGTTGTGTGTGAGGAGTTCAATTAGAAAATTGATGGATACCTGTGAAAAACAATATGCAAAACATTAAAACCTCATTTTAAAGTAGGCCTTATGTGATGAAGGATTGGCAATTTGTTTTCACCAACAATCTGTACCAACAACTATCCTATGTCCATATATGGCAGTAAAATCAAATGAAAGTTTACTTAATCTTTAAGCTATCAGAAAGTAACCCCTTGTTCCTAGGAGTGTTAGAAGTAGGATGTTGAAACTCCTTGTTTTGAGTGAAAAGTCTTGTCTTTTTCTTATTTAAAAGGGTTATTGTCCATACTTTTTAAGCCCAGAATATATTTTATGCACTCTTCTAAGTATTTTATGTGTATTAAATCATTTAATTTTCACTACTTCCCTAAGATATGGTGGTGTTGTGTGTCACTGAGTCAATTTTGACTCATAGCGACCCTGTATAGGGTTTCCAAGACTGTAAATCATTATGGGTGTAGAAAGCCTCATCTTTCTCTCATGGAACAGCTGGTAGTTTTGAAATGATCGCCTTGAGGTTATCAGCCCAACTCGTAATCACTATGCTATCAGAGCTCCTTGCCCTAAGATTTAACTACTATTATCATCCCATTTTATGAATAAGGAAACAGGCATTGAGACATTGAGTGACTTGATCAAATCAACTAACCAATAAGAGTGAACCTGGGACCCAAGATTTAACTTCAGAGTCTACTACTCTCTGCTGACTGCCCAAAAAGCAGGCATCATGTGAAAATATTTGAAAATAATTGGTTTCTGAATGAAGTTACCAATTCTTGGTCAAGGAACTTCTATGTCTAAGCCTTTATGTTAGATACTTTCACTTTCCTTTTATATTTAGGAGGGCACTGGAGACATTAGGTCATAGCCTGTGGTCTTCCTTCCTCAGTTAGAGCTGAGGGAGGTAAAACCAGTTAGAGATTTTCCTTTTCGTACAATTAATTGATGGGTACCTGCAAGAATCTATACTAAGCCCACTTCCTACATTATCATCTAAGAAATCTTTGCAAATCATTTAAAGTGCAATTTCAACCCTTAATTACATTCTTCTTTATTCTCTTCTATCACTTCTCTAAAGGCCTGGTGTGGTGTTGTAGGATAAACACTCAACTGTTAACCAAAAGGTTGATGTTTCAAATCTACCAGCCATTCTCTGGAAACCCTGTACAGGGTTGTTATGAGTTGTAACAAACTTGACAGCACTTAATAACAACAATAACAAAAATCACTTCTCTGGAGACCTAGTGGTGCCGAGGTTAAGTGCTCAACAGTTAACTAAATAACAGGAAACCACAGTCACTCTAAAGGAGAAAGATGTGGCCGTCTGCTTCTGTAAACATTGACAGCTTCGGGAACTCTATGGAGGCAGTTCTATTCTGTCCTCTAAGCTTGCTATGAGTCTGAATTGACTTCGCAGCAATGGGTTTGGTGATGTTTATTATTTTAAAAACCACTTCTCTTTACAATATCTACCTCTTTCCAATTCCCTCTGAATTTTCATATCACCACTCCCACAAGTGAGAGACATATGTTGAAAGGAAGCAGAAGGTTGGCTTTTGAATGTGAGGTGATTGTTAAGTCTAGTTGTACACAGAGCTGCTCTTTGTCTCAGAGCACTCTTGAACTAGCCACATTTCTAAGGCAGCTATCTAAGTAATGCAACTGTTTTGTGGTATTTAAAAGATGTTCTGTTATGCTATATTTGCTTCTCTCCTTGTTGTTGTCATTGTTAAGTGCAATTGAGTCAGTTCAACTTATAGTGATTGTGTTTAGGGTTTCCAAGGATCGGCTGGTGGGTTTGAACTGTCAATCTTGTGGTTAGCAATCTAGTGCAAGTTCTTCAGAGCCAAACCAGATCTAAAATTCTTAAGTAGGGATGGGAAAAATCTTTGCCTTATATAAAATATATTTAAATTAAATGTCATTTAATGAGAGAATCAGAAAGTAAAAGGTCCAAGTAGGAAAGGCTATCTCAAAACAGACCTTAATGAGGCACAGTTCACCATCTTTCACTAAAAATTTGGGGTCTGGTTGAAAAAGAACTCTCTCTACTTCTGGACTTCCCACAGTCTTTTGTGCTTCAGTTTATATCAACAATATTATTTTGGAGAGAAAAAAAAAATATATATATATATATATATATTATACCCAAAACTGCAAGACCTAACCTCACCACAATCTACACTTTGACTCTCTACCATCAATATTCTAGCATGGTTATAGATTCTCTGATTTCTCTAATCAGATCATTTGTGTCTCCAAAGCCGAAGTGACTAAACAACATATTCTATGAAAAAGTCCTGATGTGGTGCTGCAGAATAAACACTGAACTGCAAACCACAAGGTCAGTGCTTTCAACCTACCGGTGGTTCCTTAGAATCCCAACATGGGGTTGCTATGAGTTGGAACTGACTCAACATTATTTAACAACAACAGCAATACCATCTTCATAACTTGTCCATAAATCTAAAAGTATTCCAACATTTAAAAATTTATCTAAAATAAATAAGAGAGATATATAATTTCACTTGTACTGATATTTGACTTTATTTGTATTTGTATTTTAGATTCAGTGAACACAGAGAGAAAGGAAGGTGGAAAGTTAATGTTCATGAGGCATTTCACTGCACTTTTATCAGGGCGGCTTCTTTTTTAAAACTTGTAACAAAAGTCCCATTTTTCAGAAGAGAAAATGATACTGAAAATTTAGGAAACATCTCAACATTTAGCAGAAGTAGGGATAAAAGTTAGGGGCGCGGGGGGGGGGTACTGATAAGACGTGTTAGGAAATGCAAAGTTCAGAGACAGAAGTGGGATGACAGGCCAAATTCAAGATCTTATGGCCTGCCACATTTTACTAAAGATGGATGGGCTTTCTTACCTGGTGTTCCCAAGACACTACAAGGAGTTTTAGCAACACGATTTGCAGTTGTCAAGGAAGAGGTCTGTGACAATGAATGCTAAGTGTATTTCAGACCATTTTCTGGTTTCTGAAATTATTTAAAGCTAATGATTTTACACCCCATGTTTTATTGACAAAAATCTTCCTGTGGCTAAAAGCTAATCTAAAGTTTTCTTACAGATTTAGATGACAAGTCTCAACAAAACAACTTTTTTTTGCATGTTTTTACCATAAGTGAAGTCCAAAGGTTAATTTTGAATAAGTAGGCAGGTTATTTATGGATTATTACTTACCTCATGTAATTTATTCACAAGGAAAGGATAGTGTGTATGAGTTTCTGTGAAATATTCTTCTGTATAGTTTGTTCTTTAATCTTCTAGTTGTTATGGGGATAGGTGTTTGCTAAACTACCCTGATTGGCTCTCACTTATAGTTTATATCAGCATCTAGCTAGCAAACACTTTATTCAAATAGATGGTTACATTAATGTAAAAAAAAAAAAGTCACTACTTAGGTCCACAAGAATAGAAATGCTGTCTGTCAAGGAAAGATACGTACTTATAGCCAGAAAGTACTCATCCTTTGTGGTTAATATTTTTATTCCATCATAAACTATTTTCTTTCAGTGTCTTATCATCAGAAGATATAAATTTAAGTATGAAATATAAGGAAAGGAATATCTACAAGAAAAAGACACAGAAAATTCACAATTATGAAGTTATACGAAAAGCCTCCAGTAAGTAATTACTGTTTATATATTTTTATGATGCTATGGAGTCTGATGTGGTACTGTAGGACCAAGCACTGGGCTGTAAGGTCAGTTTGAACCACAAGATCGGCGGTTCAAAGTTACCAGCTGCTCCTTGGAACCTTTATACAGGGTCACTATGAGTCAAAATAGACTCCAGAGCACTTAACAAAAACAACATTATTATATGGTACTGATGTGGCACTACAGGATAATCCACTAGATTCCAAGGTTGGTTTGGACTGCAAGGTTAGTGGTTCAAACCCACCAGCCACTCCTCAGAAACCCTATTCAAGGCCACCACGAGTCAGAACTGACTCGATGACACTTACCAACATTATTATATCAGGAGATCTGGTAGCTCTGTGGGTTACCAGTTGGGCTGCTAATGACAAGGTCAACAGTTCAAGACAGGGTCAGCAGTTCAGGAGAAAAATGAGGCTTTCTGCTCCTGTAAAGATTTTTACAGCATCAGAAAACCTATACAGGGTTATTATGAGTTAGATAGCGACAACATCATTAACATAACATGCAGGTAAAAAACCATAATGCAATAGTACATTGACAGGGCACTGCCAGTGGTTTAAGCCGGATTCAGACAAAGATGTGGAAAGAGGGATATCATTGCAGATATCAGATGAATCTTGGTTGAAAGCAGAGAACACCAAAAGCATGTTTACTTGTGCTGTATTAACAATGCAAAGGCTTTTGACTGTGTGAATCATAACAAGCTATAAACAACATTGCAAAGAATGAGTATTCCAGAACACTTAATTGTGCTCTTGAGGAACCTGTTGTTGTTGTTGTTAAGTACCATGGTTCCGACTCATAGTGACCCTGCACAAGGTTTCCGAGGCTTTAAATCTTTACTGCAGCAGAACACCTCACCTTTCTACCACAGAACCACTGGTAATTTTGAACTGCTGACCTTGAGGTTGGCAGCCCGACTCATAACCACTATACTTCCAGAGCTCCTAGACCAAAAGGCAGTTATTCAAACAAAGTAAGGGACACTAATGGTTTAAAATCAGGAAAGCTGTGTGCAAGGGTTGTATTCTTTACCATACTTATTCAATCTCTATGCTGAGCAAATAACCTGAGAAACTGGATTATATGAAGAAGAAAACGGTACCAGGATTGGAAGAACACTCATTAAAACTTGCAATGATACAAACTTGCTTGCTGAAAGCAAAATGGACTTAAAATACTTAACTTCAGTTTGTATTGCACCTAAATGTGAAGAAAACAAAAGCTTCACCACTAGACAAATATATAACATCATGATAAATGGAGAAAAGATTGAAGTTTTTAAAGACATCATTTTGCTTAGATCCACCATCAACACTCATGGAAGCAGCAGTCAAGATATCAAAGAACGTATTGCATTAGGCAAAGCTGCCACACAAGACCTCTTTAAAACGTTCAAGAGCAAAGAATGTCAGTTTGAAAACTAAAGTGCGCCTGACTCAAGCCATAGTATTTTCAGTAGACTCATATACATGTGAAAATTGGACAATGAATAAGGAAGACTGTAGAAGAACTGATGCATTTGACTTTCAGTGTTAGGGAACAGAAGAATATTAAAGGTATCATGGACTGCAAGAACAAACAAATCTGTGTAGGAAGAAGAACAACCAGAATGCTCCTTAGAAGCCAGGACGGCCAGATTTCATCTCTCATATTTTGGACATGTTGTCATGAGGGACTAGTCTTGGTAAATGGAGAAGAACATCATGCTTGGTAAATTGGAGGGACAGTGAAAAAGAGGGAGACCCCCCCAATGAGATGGACTGGCAAGTTAACAGCAATAACATGTTCAAGTGCAGCAGCAATTATGAGGATGGCACAAAAGACTGGGCAGTGTTTCGTTCTGTTGTTCATGAATGCTATGGGTCACAACTGATTCAACAGCACTTCACAACAAATGAGTCAAAGCTGACTCCAGGGCACATAATCACCACCATTATTATATAAATTTATGTGATTAAGACAAACAGCAATTCTGTGTGCCAGGAAGGAGTCTATTCTTTAAACCTGAAGATATGGTTACATGATCTCCATTTTACAAAGGAAGGAAGTGAGGTCCAGAAAAACTAAGTGGCCAGTCTACGAGTGCCCAAGTTTACCAGGGCAGAAGTGTAAGGCTATGGTGGTGGTAGTGGTGGTGTGCCATGGAGTCAGTTGTGATTCATAGTGACCCTGTACAGTGTCCAAAGTTGTACATCTTTATAGAAGCAGAAAGCCTCATCTTTCTACCACGCAACAGCTGGTAGTTTCCAACTGCTGACCTTAAGGTTCGCAGCCCAATTTGTAACCACTATGCTCCAGAGTGTAAGGCTATAGAATGCATATAAAATACCTACAGATAACATACAATGTTCCCAAACTATAATTGTCAACAAAGTATTTTAGAAAAGAAGATGAAATAAAACTAATTTTTGTATTTAGATTAATTCTTTGTATATTGCACATTCAGATTATTAGTGGAAGCTTTGCTTCTGTTTCTTATCATTCTTTTTTAATGTCGATAGACATATGAAATCTTTATGATGTTATAAATTCCACATTATTGTTAGAAGAAAACAAAGTCATACAGAAAAATTTCTTAATCTAATTTTTGTCTGACCAATAAAGAACTATGAAAAAAAGGAATTGCAACAATGGAATTGTTATCATATTGAAACATATTGCTTAGAAAAGTAGGTGAGAATCATTTTCAAGCTCCATCATATAATGAGGAGCTTTCACTTACTACAAATATTTTTTCAATTTAAATCCCCAGAGCAGTGACATACCCATATGGCAGATACGCTGATTGTGAAATTTCTGATGAAATTTTGCTGTCAAAAATTGCATAATTATTTGCCAAAATTCAGTAGAAATTTATATACTAATCTACTTCATTGAGTTTTTGCCAGGCGTATATGAGATATCATATGTATACGATAAGCACTGGACTGGGAACCACAAGATCCATGGTTCGAGTCCTCCAGTCGCTCCACAGGTGAGAAAGATGGGGCTTTCTGCTCCTGCAAAGATTCAAGCCCTCAGAAACAGGGTCGTTATGAGTTAGAACCAACTTGACAGCAACTTAACAATAACAACAACAACTTTGAACAGTGCCTGGCATCCAATATAATTTTATTATAATATTATTGTCACTGTCATTTTTACTTTTGCTTATTTTGGAAAACAAATTTTGGAATAAAACATACTTGTGTTAAATTCCATATTCTACCATTTGCCAGCTATGGAAACTCAGACCATTTCTTTTTTTTAATGTTTTAATGTGAATTACATGGGAGAATATTAGCTTTACATTCATCCTATCATATATCATTTCATTGCCATGGTTACAATTCCCTCCATGCATCATCAACCAACCAAAGGGTATATGCTACAAGCCTGTCCCCTGGTCATCAGCACACAGCCCTTCTCCCTCTCTGGGTCTAGAGTCTCTCTCCATCTCTCCACATCATCATCTCTGCCTCCATCTGTGGCGCCAGTCTTTCTCTGGGTAGGGACCCGAACTCCACTCTTCTTCCTTGATGGTCCCAGGGACATCTGCTCCTGGACTGCAAAGTTAACCACTCCCCTCATTTTGCTACAAAATGTCTACCTTTACATTTCCAACTCTCACAGTCAGTCTTGTTAGCAATTGTCCACTATTGTGCCACATGAGAGACATTCACATTGCCTTTCATCAATCCCACCCAGACAGATTGGATACTACTCCGTGGAGATTCTACCTTCCTCTGTGCCCTCTGGATCTAGGCTCCCTCTTGAATATTTGTAAGCTAGTCACTTCTTGCCTTTGTAGCCCCCCATTTTGGGTAACCAATGTCCAAGTTGCCCATCCCTGTCTACCCTGTGTAGCGAGGGAGTGGGAATGATCCTCGCTTTAAAGACTTGTTCTCTCTTTTGAGCTACTGCATCCATAGGTGTAGGTCAAGTTCATCAAATTTTATCAGATTACTCTTATTTTCCTCCTCTATTTTCTAGTTGAGTTCTGATCATCCAGCCATTGAAGCCAGGTCAAGTGGGTATTTTCTGCAAGTGTGGGTATTCTTGTGCATATGCCCTTACTTCTTATCAGCTGGACACCTAATTTTCTACTCTAGTCCTTTGTGGCTATGTCACTGACTCTGGGCCCAGGAGTCCCCAGGTCTTGCCATACTGCTGGCCAACCAGGTCTCCACCTGGGTTCATAGGAGTCTATTGAACATGGTAGCACTTAGCTCGCAGCTTCATTGCTGTTTTTCCCTCACTTCCCCTTATCAGTGACCAACATGGTCACCAGTCAGAGCACATGTCTGCTCATGTATTCCCATTGAGTCTTAGTCTTGGAAGGGGGTTTACCCTGAGGGGACCCAACCACTTGCCTTGATGTCTCCTGGGTGAGCAACTTGTTCTTGTAGTAGTCAATTGGACTACCATTATTGTTTTGTATTTTTCCTGTTGGTCTTTCTTTCAAGAAGTATCTTCTGTTCTTATAGCTGCTCCAGGCTGGTCTGTTTGTCCTTTCAAGTGGAAATTTCCCACCTAAGAAGATTCTGGATGGGGTTTCAGACCATTTCTGACAGCATTCTGAGTCTTAGTTTCTTTATCTGTCAGGCATTACGATACCTTACTGACTGTGAAGATTTCTTCTTTGACTAACACAGTACATTGATTTTCAAAGCACAGTCTCTGTCCTAGCAGCATCAGTGTCATCTGGAACTTGTTAGACATGGAGCCTCACCCAAACCTACCAAATGAAAATCCAAGACACATATGGATTAATCTAGGTTTTCACAAGCCCACCAAGTGATTCTGAAATCTGCTAAAATTGAAAACCATTGGCATAGCACATGTTTCCTAGGTACTGAGGCTGCTAGGATAACAGAAACATCCATAGAAACCTACTTTCACAGAACTAGCAATCAAACATAAACATAAAATTACAACTCAAATTAAGCTTTTGTAGATTCCGATTCCATTATCCATTTGTCAGGTGAGGCAAAAGAAAATTTTTCATTTTTTTTCAATCTGTATTTTTAAGGACAAGATTAAAATAGTTTTTCAGCATCTCATTGTGTATATAATAAATTCAGTGATAAAACATCAATGGTTTAAATTTATCAAAATTATAAAGTACCTGCAAATGCAAAATTTTAGGTGTTATGTTAAATAGTAATAAAAAAAATAGATTCCATTTCACAAAGGATACAATTTTCTTGCAGATAAAAGAGAAACTGGAACTTTTCCAAAAGCACAGCATACTCATGTTAAAGTGAAAATAGCAAAAGAATACCAAATAAATAATAATAATAAAAAAAGATAGGGAGGCTTTGAGTTCTTTTTTATTTCTTTGAATAAAAAAGACCGTGGGTTTATTTTCAACAGCTGTGTTTATAAGTTTGGTGATTATTGCAGCTGTACCAGCTGAATAACAGGAAGGTTAAATTTGAAAAAAGTTAACTTTGTTTGGAAATGTACTATTTTCTTCTGAGGATTAATGATATTGTACTTTTTCCCCATCCTCCCCTAAAATCTACTGTTGGGAAGGTGCATTTAGGTCATTAAGCATTGGAGCCCTGAAAGAACTGCCTGAAGTGAATAAACCTACTTTTCTTCTAGACCATGAGGAATACTTTAAGGAAGATACAGAAGAAAACTATTCACCAATGCCAGAGATTCTACCACTTTCTGAAAGTAAGACTTCACCCATCATGTACCTTCAATATCTCTCCCCATGAAACTCGATCAAGTTTAAAAATCAAGTAGGATAACTTGAAAGCCTTGTAGGTTGCAGTGAAATGAAGTGTTTCATGTCTGCTAAGATTTATACCTCAGCTGCTGATTATTTGTGCTTTCATAAAGGACAGCCAACTGAATACATAAAAGGAATATTTTTGTTTTGTACCTCTTCTGATGTCAGAAGGCCATGATCATGTGTCACGAATTGGCCATGGATGAGAACCTCTCCCCCTAAATAACAGTAATTTTCATAACTGATTATCAGAGAAAGAGACATCATAAGACTGCTTTAGAACAGAATCTCTGACAATCTGATTTTCTTCTTTTCATGTGAAACACTATAAATAGAGGATACTTAAAGTGCATTGTCTTGGAGGCCTCCAGCTGCAGTGCTAGGCTAATATGATGATAGGACAAGAAATTTTAACTTAGAAAATATAAGTGAATAATCTTTGAAGATTTGAATAGATAATAGTTTGATTTTCAGAATATTAAACAATTCTGAGTTTTTAAGAATTTAGAGAATAATTTCCAGATAAAAATCCAACCCACAGAGGCCTTCTGTGAGAACCAGGCAGCACAACCTGATTCTCAGTGAGCATGCAAAAAGCATATGGACACTGCATGGAAACGAATTTAAAATAATTAATGAAAAGTGCAAAATTTCAACTTGTAACATTCAGAAGATCTAAACTACACTTGAGAATCTGAGAACTATGGATTTTAAACCTTTCATATCTTCTGATAGGGTACAGTAACATCCTGGAGCAATGAAACCCCCTTGTAATAGGGAGGTGTTGCCATATGTCCACACTTTGGGAAGTTTAAGCCTTCTTCTTTTTGCTAGGTTCCCTATGGAAAGGGAGAGCAGCTGGTCAACATTTTTTTTTTTAAGTTCCATTTAGAAGTATAGTTGTCATACATTATTCCCAAAGTTTCCAACCTAATTATTACCAACTCCCTTTGCCTTTTCTCAGAGATTCTGTTTTTAAAATTTGTAATCATTTGCTTACTCTTGGGAAAACAATCCATGGTTTCTTTTCACATATAAAAATGTGAAGCTATAAATGTTAGGTTTATAAAAGCCTTTAGAGAATCTGATCAGTCTTGTAGTCTATCATCCTGTTGCTTTTCACCAGGTTTCATTTTTAAGAGTGACTATGAAAAGTCTTCTACAGAAGAGAACCTGGACTTCTATAGGGGAGAAACTGATATCGAGTATGGGGGTGGATCTGGGGAGATGTAAGACAGAAAGCAAACATTCAGAGAGCCAAACAAAGTTGTAAAGGTAATTTGGATATAGGACATGTACACAGGAGGAAAGCAAAACAGAGTTGTTGTTGTTAGGTGCCATTGAGTTGGTTCTGATACATAGTGACTTTATACACAACTGAACACAACTCTGCCCAGTCCTGCACCATCCTCACAATCATTGGTACACTTGAGCCCATTGTTGTTGCCATTGTACTAATCCATCTCTTTGAGAGCATTCCTCTTTTTCACTTACCTTTACCAAGCAAGATGTCCTTATCCAGGTACTGGTCCCTCCTGATAAGTTGTCTGTAGTATGAGAAATGATGTCTTGCCATCCTGGCTTCCAAGGAACATTTTGGTTGTACTTCTTCCAACATAGATTTGTTTGTTCTTCTTGTAGTCCCTGGTACCTTCAGTATTGTTCTCAAGCACCATAATACAAATGCATCAATTCTTCTATAGTCTTTCTTACTTACTGTCCAACTTTTACATGCAAATGAGGCTATTGAAAATATCATGGCTTGGGTCAGGTGCACCTTAGTCTTTAAACTGACATTTTTGTTGTTAAAGACTTTAGCGAGGTCTTGTGCTACAGACTTGCATAATGTAATGCGTTGTTTGATTTCTTGACTGCTACTTCTGTGAGCACTGATAGTGGTTCCAAGCAAATTGAAGTTTTTGGCAGCTTCAATCTTTTCTTTATTTGTAATAATCTTATTTATTGGTCCACTTATGAGGATTTTTGTTTTCTTTACATTGAGGTGCAACTCACATTGAAGACTGTCATCTTTGATCTTCATCAGTAGATATGTTAAGTCCTCTTCTCTTTTAGCAAGCAAGATTGTATCATTTGCATATTGAAGTTTATTAATGAGTATTCCTCCAAGTCTGATGCCACGTTCTTCTTCATATCTTCCAGCTTCTTGGATTATTTGCTCAGTATAGAAGTTGAATAAATATTGTGGAATAATACAACCCTGATGTACGCCTTTCCTGATTTTAAACAATTCAGTGTCCCCTTGTTTTGCTTGAACGACTACTTCTTAGTCTATGTACAGGTTCTTCATGAGCATAATGAAGTGTTCCGGAATACCTATTCTCTGTAATGTTGTCCCTAAGTTGTCATGATTCACACAGTCAAAAACTTTTGCATACAATAAAACACAGGTAAACATCTTTCTGGTATTCTCTACTTGCAGCCAAGATCTAGCTGACTTTCGGAATGATAGTCCTCATTCATGTCTTTGTCAGAATCCAGCTTGAACCTCTGGCAATTCCATCTCAATGTACCATTGTAGTCAGGTTTTTTTTTTTTTTCATTATCCTTAGCAATATTTTATTTGCATGTGATATTAATGTTATTGTCTGATGATTCCCACATTCCATTGGGTCATTTCTCTTTGGAATGGGCAGAACTATAGATTTCTTCCAATCAGTGGTTCACATAGCTGTCTTTGTCTTTCAAATTTCTTGGATGAGTGTGTGCATCCAGTGCTGCCTCAGTTTCTTTAAAGATTTCAATCTGTATTCCATCGTGTCTCAGAGATATGTTCTTTGCCAATGCCTTCAGTGCACTTTGGACTTATTCCTTCAGTACCATTTGCTCTTGATCATATGCTATGTCTTCAAATGATTGAAAACAACCATGTCTTTTTGGTACAGTGACTCTCCATTTTCTTTTGATGATTTTCTGCATCATTCAATATTTTATCCATAGAATCCTTCCATATTGTAAGTTGACACTTGAATTTTTTTCTTCAGTTCCTTCAGCTTGAGAAACATAGAGCATGTTTTTCCCTTTTGTTTTCCTAACTTCAGTTCTTTACACATTTCATTATAATATTTGATATTTGCTTCTTCAGCTTCCCTTTCACATTTTCTGTGCAGCTTTTGTACTTCCTCACTTTTTCATTTGCTTAGCATATTTACATTGGAGAGCAAGTTTCAGAGTCTCTTCTGACATCCATTTTGGTCTTTTTTTTTTTTTTTTTTTTCTTTCCTGTCTTTTTAATGACTTTTGCTTTCTTCATATATGATGTTCTTGATGTCATCCCACAACTCTTCTGGTCTTCAGTCATTAGTATACAAAAGCTTTTCTTGAGATGGTCTCTAAATCCAGGTGGTGGTGGTGGTTATGTGCCATGGAGTCGGTTCTAACTCATAGTGACCCTGTACAGGGTTTCCAAAGGCTGTAAATCTTTATGGGAGCAGAAAACCTCATCTTTTTCCCGCAGAACAGCTGGTAGTTTCAAACTGCTGAGGTTAGCAGCTGCTAACCTGAGATTAGCAGTCTGATTTGTAACCACTACGTTACCAGAGCTCCTTAAATCCAGGTGGGATTTAATGTCATAGTTTGGATCTTATAGTCTTATTTTAATTTTCTTCAGTTTCATCCTGAACTTGCATATGAAAAATTGATGTTTTTGTCCACTGTCTAGCTCTGACCTTGCTTTGGCTGATGGCTTGGAGCCTTTCCACCACCTTGTCCCACAGAGGTAGTTAATTTGATTTCTGTGTATGACATCTGGTGAGTTCCATGTATATGGTTGTCTTTTATGCTGATTAAAAAGGTACATGCAATGAATAAGTCAGTGTTCTTGCAAAATCCTATCATGTGATCGCCATCATTTCTTTCACCAAAGCCATGTTTTCCAGTGACTGATCCTTCTTCTTTGTTTCCAACCTTTGCATTACAATTTCTAGTAATTATCAATACATCTTGATTTCATGTTTGATCAGTTTTAAACTGAAAAAAATTGGTAGAATTCTTTAGTTGTTAGTGAATACATTTGAGTAACAGTGGTATTAACTAGTCTTCATTGTAGGCGTATGGATATTATCCTATCACAGACAGCACTGTATTTCAAGGCACTGTATTTCAAGATCGATCTTGAAATGTTCTTTTTGATGATTAGTGTGACACCATTCGTCTTCAATTTGTCATTCCTGGCATAGTAAGCCATATGATTGTCTGATCCAACAGCTCACTAATACCTAGGATTTCAATCTGTATTTCATTTTTGACAGCTTCCAATATTCCTGGATTCATACTTCATACACTCACGTTCTGAGCATTAAGGGATGTTTACAGCTGTTTCTCCTCATTTTGAGTTTTTCCCCTTAAGCAAATGAAGATCACCAAATCGTTAACGAATTCACGTCATCACTGTCAACTCTACTTTGAGGAGACAACTCTTCTCTAGTCATATTTTGAGCGCCTTCCAACCTGAGGGGTCTTCTTCTGGCACTATATCTAAAAGTATTCTGAGGCTCTTCATCATGTTTTAATAGCCAATATTTTGTGGTCTCTGACCGTGTTCACTGCTATTCATAGATTTCAGTGGCTAACTGTTCAAAAAGGAGCACTGGTAGTGTAGTGGTTATGAGTCGGGCTGCTAACCTCAAGGTCAGCAGTTCAAAACCACCAGTAGTTCTGTGGGAGTAAGATGAGGCTTTCTGCGCCCATAAAGAATTACAGCCTCAGAAATCTTATACAGGATCGTTATGAGTCTGAACTGACTCCACCGCATACCACTACCAACACCAACTATTCAGAAGTAGTTTACCTCTCTTTGTTCTAAGTCTTGTCTTAGTCTGGAAACTCAGCTGAAATCTGTCTACCATTGTGGATCCTGCTTTAAAATACCAGTGGCACAGCTTCCAGCATCACAGCCACACACAATCCATCACAGTGTGAGAAA